TTTGTTGTGAGCTACCCAGAGTTATTTAGAGTTGGTGGCATACACATTAATACAAAGGAGGTTGTTGTTGTTGTTATTGTTGTTGTTGTCCACCCAGTCATTGAGGTGTTTGGACTGGATTTGGCATTTTTATCCACCTATCAAATCCATCCCAGATGATCTGGGATAGGCAGAGGTTGTTTGATGGTGTTAAAGGCCCCAGGATGTATTCTGTTCCAAGAAAAGTTGCCCTTTACTGTTGATTGATGATGCTTTTGTCAGTTGTAATAATAACAGTAAATACACACCAGTCTGAAATAATAGCTGCCAATTCATTAGCTAATGTTGGTCTTCATATGCATTGCGTTTGTTCCAAGAGCCTGGGATATCGTAATGTATGTGTGGGTATATGCAGATGTAAGATGGAAATTTCGTCAATGCAAAGATTTTCCAAGATTTTTCTAAAGCAGTGTTTCTCAACCTTGGCAACTTGAAGATGTCCGGACTTCAACTCCCAGAATTCCCCAGCCAGCGCTGGCTGGGGAATTCTGGGAGTTGAAGTCTGGACATCTTCAAGTTGCCAACATTGAGAAACACTGTTCTAGAGTTTCTTGGTAAACTAGGGATCTTGCAGTATCTGTGATCACAGAAGTATACACACTCCAAGGGGCTTTTGTCTCATGTTCATTCCAAGCCATTACTAGAGCCTTGGACAAACTGAGAATCAGAGTTTCAAAAAATTCACTTTAAAGCTCACTGGTTCATTAGTCAATGGGGAGGCTGATTGAATAGGTCCCACCTCCCTGATAGGTCCCACCTCCCTCTGCAATTGCAGAGAGCTAAAGGACCAAGTGGGTGTGATCCAGGGCGAACATATGTGAATCTCAGATAATGATGCTATTGTCTCAAAACAAAACTTATGCAAAGGGAGTTGGGCTCTGAATAAGTTGGACCACTTCTATAGGGACCATGAACTTCTGAGCCATCTCATTCTGGGGTCAGAGAAAGCAGGTTGAAGAACTATGAACTGGGGAACTCAACTGCTAAATTAATTGCAGGTCAAGGAGTTTGGGCAAGGGCACTGCTACATTGCAAGAAGGAAGGTGGAAGGAAAGCAATCCCAACTAATCCCTGTGACCCAACCTTGCAAATAGTGTTGCACATTGAGCTTTATCTGGAGCAGCGTACTTAAAGGTCATCAGAGATTTGAGCAGAAGAAGCTTGAGGAGCAAAGGTGACAAAGAATTAATGGATGAAGAAGAGGAAGCTCAGAAAGAAAATGAGACAAGATTTATAATAAAAGGGGTAGAAGAGAGGCATGTCCAGGAGACAATACGTTGTCCAAACTCTCCTGGAAATCCAATTGGACAATTTAAGTTTTTAACCATATTTTCTCATTAAAGAGGGAGTAACAGGGAGAAATATTCATAGTTGGAAAATGACAACCAAATATTATTTATGATGCTGTATATTTTGATTACACCCTGTTTAAACCATTGCAAATCAAGAACACAATAAGTTTTATGACTAGATCAGTTTGCAAATAAATACTGTTGACCAATTGCATAATTCCATCCAGTAACAAATGAAACATTTTGAATAGATTTTAAACTATGGATATTTGAATTTCCATAATTTAATAGATCACAAGTATTTATAGATAAATAAATATTTCTAGAAATATATTTGGTTTGAAGAAGATGGTTCAAATACTGTTGGCATAAACAAAATAATCAGACTAAGCCTCCCCCAAAAATAGGGCCCATAAATCTTACTAATCTTATTGCTACTAAATAGCAGTAATATCAGCAGCAGCCAGGTGTATGTATGACAAAAGGAGAAGATGGCAGTTACACTTTGTATAGCATTTGTACACACACAAATGGTGTGTGTGTGTGCTCAAATCACACTGCTGCAACCGCCATCTTGCAATGTTTTTGAGCCTCCTCCCGCCACATGGAGATTGCTTCTACAAAAAAATACAACCAGATATGACAATCAAAAGGGCACAACTATGACCAAAAAGCAGTGAAATATATGAAAATAGTATATCACATGTTGCCTTGTATTTAACAAATCATTTTCTTCTAACAAACAAAATGTTATGAATATGTATTTAGAGAAATGCAGAATTTTAAGCAAGCACTAAAATACCTTAAGGCAGTTTCCAGTGTGCAATAGTTTCTTCAAAATTGACCCTAAAATAAAGAAAAACGGATTAGGAAAATTTCAAATTAAAGATTAGTTACAATTAGTCATGGTCGATAAAAATAAATGTAAATTCAAGAACTAAAATAGTAATTAAAATAACTACCTCTAAGAAAACACACTGATCTTGAAGCAATGCTTATTTAATTATCTGTTCTCATAAATTTATTACCCACATTTATTTCATTGATTTTAAAAAGATACCTTGTAGGGTTTTCCATACAGGTATTAGAACCTACTGGCACCCAATAGAATTCGTTCCAGTTAATTAGGCAACCATTTCAACAACAAATAAATTTCCAAACTGTTGATTAAAAACAATACAATTTGGTATAGAATCTAGATGATGCATCTTATCACCATGTAACAGTTTAACAATTCAGATGCAATGACATCTGAACTACCATTGGTTTCTCCACTATAGCAAACTAATTGTTCAAATATCAAATTAAAGAGATAAAGACAAGCGATTATAAAGATTACTTCAATATCTTTCATTCAACATTTTAGCATACCAAAAAAGCAATCTAATATGCAAAGTGTAAAATATCACACGTCAATCCAATTTGTTGTTTCCCATTAAGAGAAAAGATGACAACATCTTTTTGCCTTAACTGCACCACAAGGCAAAATAGGAAAGCTTATTAATCTGGACTTAAAAAGTATACTTACCTATGCTATGAAAATGCCATCGATAGAAAATTCTCTCAGGTAATAATTGTAGTATCCTCTGGAGAAGTTAAGAAAATTTGTTGTTTTACATTTACATAAAGCAGCTTCTTAGATCTAGTGATTTAGTCTAATTTGCATAGCGCACAGTATAATCTAATATACTCAGAACAGAAGCCACGGAATTCAATATGGATTATTCTGAAGTAAAGAGCCACAGAATCATCAACTGCAAAGGCAGTTTAAAATTAGAGATCAAGCATCACTGACATCTAGTTACAGAGTCACCGACTAGAGTCACAAATTGTACTCCATGATAGTTTCATAAAGCATTATTTATTAAATAAGCAAAACAGGGTTCATACGTAGTTTAGACCTCTATATTATAATTCATGAACAACAAAGCAAGAATCATATAATATTCTAAGCAGAGCCAATTAACTTTATTATAATTAAACATGTAAATCAGTCTCCCAATCAGTTTACAAATCAGTGGAACCCTAGACTTGATCAAAATCTGAAGCTTTAGGTAACCATAGGTAAGACTGCTGGCATTTTCCTAGAGCTCATCAGATGCTTTAATTCCTAAAAAAAATACTACAATATTGGTTTTTTTTTAAAAAGATGAATTATTTATTATTTACATTTGTGTGTTGGCAACATTTCACAAAGGCAGCCAAGTGACTAATTTGTCATATCTATTATTTTGGTCAGATTCAGATGCAACTTCTAATTAATGAACCAATCAGTCTTGTCCTGGTTAATTAGAGGCAAGAATTTCCACTTAACTTTTTCATTTGATCATATCACTATTCATGTTATTGCCTCACATTTTGACCATTTAGGTATCTACTTTAATGGGTATCTAGAACTGCTCACAGAGCTGGTTGACAACTTCATAAATGTTCTGACTAGAATCTGCAAAATGGAAATCTATGTTCTTAAAATAGTAAATTGTCTTTGCTCTCCTTCTTCGCATTACACATCTTGTCTGATAGCAGGCTGGTCTAATTAAATTGCTATATTTTTATCATTTATTTAAACAATTAAAAGGGAGGGACCCCACCTCCGCTATTTAGGGTCATACCATTGTGCTTGTAAACAAAATATGTGTTTATTATTATAAAGAACCATATAACTATAATGCTCAGTATATGTTGAAAATGGGTAACTTACTTCAAAAAGAAAAAGAACGGAATCCAACTCTTCCCTTTGGGATTTATTTCCTGAAGGGGAAAGAAAAAGAACATTCCTTCCCATTATGCATAATGAGAAATATAATATATAATATAATTCCACAGAAGGCCTTTATTTACTTGAAATAAGGATATATTTTTTTGCAGTTTAGCAGTAAAACAGGGTGGCAGACTGTCGCATTCACTGAGATTAAAGTAAAGGAAGCAGTTAAACATTTTTTCTAAAGTTCTCTTGATTCTTTAGGAGGTGATACAGGACAGAGAAATACTTCAGAGATGCCACAAAGATCTTTAAAGATTAAAAAACACTTTGAATTGGCCTTGGAAGCAAACTGTCAATCCATGGAATAAAGGTGTAACATGTGCCATTCTAAGGGTACCCATAGCTGCATATCCCACTGCATACTGCATAAGCTTGCAAACACTTTTCAAGGACAGCCTCATGTAAAGTGCATTACAATAATTACATCTGGGAGATCACCCAGGAGGTCATCAGGGCATGAGTGACCATGAGCAAAACTTCCCAATCCAGGAACAGATGTAACTGGTGCACAAAACAGAACCATACAAAGGCCTCCTAGCCATAACTGCTACCTATTTGTTGAGCAGGAATCATGAATCTAGGAGGATCTCAGATTACACACTGGGTCTGTTTGGGGCAATGCGACCCTGTCCAGTACCAAAGATTGCATAGTCCCTGAAGTGGAGGGAAATCTATAGCCATCCAGTCTTGCAATTCCAGGGTGGCAAGTTAACATTAGCTGTGGTCTCCAATTCAGAGTAAGGCTCCTATCATCTTAAAGATGATATCCAACTCATTTTGTCACTCTACACCCAAAATCTGTAGTTTAAATTCTACTTTAGCTTGCTCATAACTCATGGACAAAATATGTATAGGTCCACACTTTGACCAATAGAGGCTTCTCTTCCAGACTGATGATGGCCTGGATATTCTATTCATCTTGGAGTTTGGGGCAATCATTCTAATCTTCTGGTAATTGTTTACAAAATCCACTCCAACACAATATTGAACAAAGGCTAACCAGTGTCTATAAGAGAATCATAGCAACATAATTATATGTTTAGGAACATATAATATGTTCATACCATAAACATAACATATGTTTATGGTACAATAGTTAACAAGCTCCACTCTACACATTTTTTTTAAAAATGGCCATAGTAACTAGTAGCAACTTATTTTTGTTCTTTTTCTTTTGTTTTCAAATATTCCTTTAAATTACCATATTTTTCAGAGTATAAGTCGCACCGGAGTATAAGACGCACCAAGGTTTTGAAGAGGCAAATTTTTTAAAAAGTAGGTAGGCAGATGGAGAGAGAGGGAGAGAAAGAAAGGGAGAGAAATACAGTAGGTAGGTAGGTAGGGAGAGAGAGAGTAGGTAGGTAGGTAGGTAGATAAAGGGATAGAGAAATAGAGAGAGATGGAGAGGTAGAGAAATACAGTAGGTAGGGAGGGAGAGAGAGAGTGTGTGTAGGTAGGTAGGTAGAGATATATATAGAGAGAAATAGAAATATATATAAAGAGAAATACAGTAGATAGGTAGGGAGAGAGGGGGGGTAGGTAGGTAGATAGAGTGATAGAGAGAGAAATACAGTAGGTAGATAGGGAGAAAGAGAGTGTGTGTAGGTAGGTAGGTAAGTAGGTAGGTAGATAGAGGGATAGAGAGAGAGAGAAATACAGTAGGTAGGGAGGGAGCGAGCGAATAGGTAGGTAGATGTATCCAGGTGTATTTATCCATGGGCTGGAGAAGGAAATCACTGACAATCTGCAGCACCTTAAGACTTTGTTTCTGCTGGCACAGCACTTGATCAATATAATTCTCATCAATCAGTTAAAGAGCTTTCCAAAAAGAAAAAAAAAGTTTTTGCACATTGCAAACCTCCCAAAACTTGCCTTTTTTTCATGAAAATGGGCCCATTTTTAAAAAAGGCATAAGTAGCCTTGGGGGGGCTTGCAGAGTGCTCCTGGGGGGTGAAGGGCAAAAAATAAGCAAGAAACGGCCCATTTTTCGTGAAAACGGCCCCTTTTTTGTCAAACAAATTGCATGCATAGCCTTATGGAGGTTTAGAGAGTGCCGGGGGGGGGGGCAGAAAAAGGCCTGTTATTTACTCATTTCTGCCCTCCCCAGCCCACAGGAGCTCTCTGAAAGCCTCCATAAGGGCATGCACGGCCATTTTGATGAAGGGGCGGAGTTTCGGGAGGCAAAAATGCTGTATTTGATATATAAGACGCACCCAGATTTTCAGCCTCTTTTTTGAGGAAAAAGGATGCGTCTTATTCTCTGAAAAATACGGTACTTATTATATTTATGCTTTCATTTTTTTGAGGTGACTAAACCTGAATAGGTTATTTCCTAGTTTTCCTCAGCATTTCAATGTGATAAAGGATTAAATTAAGATCTAAAGGACTAAATTAAACACTTTAATTTAGCTGTTAGTGAAGTAAATATACAGACGTAAATCTCTAATAAAAAGCATTTAGTCATACACAATGACGGAACAGAGAAAAAGCTTCAAGGATAAAATTGACAAATTTGATAAAAAGCATCCTATATTCTTATTGCTTAGAATTTGACATGAAATTAGAGTCAGCAATGATGATTATACAGTTACAAATCTACAGATTTCAGGAAAACGATAGAAAATTGTAAAAGAAAGCAATAGATGGGTATTTCAGACACTGGAAGTATCATGCAACCTCATACTGATACATTGACTGTTCAAGCTTTGATATAGAGACGTTCATTGCATAAATGCTATTCTTTACTAATTTTATTTTAGTTTGTTTTAATGAAGAAGAACCCCGCCCTCTCCCAAGCCCAGATCATGATTTAAATACAAAATACTGTACGTCTAAGATCCTCACTTATTTCCAAGATAGGTTTGATGGTATACTTAAAAACTGTGGTTATTAATATAGGCAACAATGATTTAATTCCACTGAAGTTCAAACTGAATGTATATTTATAGATCCGGCTTCTCCCAAAATACTAAGGCTATGTGGTTAATCGTGATATGCTCATGCTGAAACAGATTGTGCACAGTAACTCCTTACTATATTAAAAAACAACAAGCTTTCCGTAAACTAGACTAATCAAGCATATGCTATGTACATGCCCATTAATTGGATCAGCAGGAGAGGCTATGTTAAAAATTCTCCTATTGCCAGAAATTTACTAATTTAGACAAGGTCTTCACCTGCATGGAGTCCAGATAAAAAAATGCATTCATCAGAGAGATGTGCATGGCTCTACACTACCAGTTCTTTGAAAAATGGTAGAAATTTCACCAAGCTTTTAATTGTTAAATAAAATTGATTTTAGTGACATTCGATTTTTAATTTTTATACTTTTAATTGTGATTTAAAAATGTTAAAATCTCATTGTTATTGCTGTAATCTCCCTTGAGCATTATATGGATAGAATGGCAGGATAGAAATTTAATAAATAGCTAAACCACTTATAAACAATCTCAAAGACAATTTTTGAAACGTTAGATAGACATTCCTAATTTGTAATGGTCTACTGATTAATTACTAGTTATTTGAAATATACAGAGATTTATATAATACTGAAAATAAGGCAGTATTAAGCATCTTAAAAGACAACATTCTTACCTTTTTGTTTCAAACTGGTTTCCAGTGTTACAAAACTTTCATAGAAGATAAGATAAATTTGAGAATAATTGATCTCAAAGAACTGTTTGAGTTCACTTCCATCCACGCCATCTATATAAGAAAAATTAAAACAAAAAGTTACTGTATGTGAAAGTTATAAGAATACATGAAATATTATTAAAATGCATAAACAAAATAATGTAACAGGAAGAAAACGCTGCAAAAACAACTATGTGATACGAACACTAGCATTAAAGGACAGTATTTAGATTATCTGGAATTTTGGAATTGTCTAGGTACGTCTATATTTATAAGTAAATTCCATTTTAAAGATAAAAAATTAAAATACTTGAAATTTCTGCTCATGCTACGAAGGAATCACAATTAAAAATAAGGTATTTTAACTTTAATTCACTTTTATATTGCTTCATAAGTTAGTTCCACGTATTCAGTTTGCCTTGGTATTTCAGCTCACTAACGGTCTGGTGAATGAGGCATTCAACGAAATTTTCAATGGATGCAATTTATTCAGTGATCTGAGTCATGCCTGGTGTATCTTTACAAATGTGTACAGCTTCTTCAAAGTTCCACCTGTTATAGTGGTACCTTTCACGTTCTTTCACACACCTCTATCAACAAAAAAAGGGAAAAAGTAAAGTCACACTTTATTAAAGTTAGGGTTCCTACTGCAAGCAACCGGGATGAAAAGAGTCCTGGAACCATGTCAAATAACCACTATCTGAGTCTCAGTTTAGAAGAGATCAAGTTGGCCATGACCTTAACAGAAGATTTAAAAGAAAACACAATGCCTCTCTTTTTGTTTTTAAATCAGCTGAACTAGCTCCCAGAACAGGACACTTAAGGAGGAAACTGAGGGACTCTGTGTAGCTCAAGCAGAGGTGGCGCAGTGGTTAGAGTGCAGTACTGCAGGCCACTTCAGCTGACTGCTAGTCTGCAGTTCGGCGGTTCAAATCTCACTGGCTCAAGGTTGACTCAGCCTTCCATCCTTCTGAGGTGGGTAAAATGAGGACCCAGACTGTGGGGGCAATATGCTGACTCTGTAAACTGCTTAGAGAGGGCTGAAAGCCCTATGAAGGCGGTATATAAGTCTAACTGCTATTGCTATTTCACAGTTACTTGGAGGGATAATTTCAGCCTCACCTCCTTCATTCCTTTCCTTGCCTGAACTAGCTTTCTATTTTCACAAGCCATGATTCCAATTCTAATTCCAATTTATTGAATCCTCTGACAACAAATAGAAACAAAAATACAAGCAGAAGTAGAAATATATTCAGTATTCACGCTTATTTTTCCACTTATTTTTCAGCCTAATTTTTCACTGTGGATCCCTTGCCTTAAAACTGGGTAACAAAGCCTTGCAACATTCTATGTTACATAAAATAACTTATCTGTGCAAAGTAAATCAGCACAAAAGTCCTCTGAATGGTCAGAAACTGCTGTTAAAAGGACAAAAATAACTTCAGCTATGGTGTGGTTTAAATGTGTTTAATATAAATAAATATCTAGTCATGTATATCTTTCCTTTCTATCATGTTAAATTTTGCAATTTAACAAATTGTGTACTTTCTTATAAAACATGTAGATCTGCTGGAGGATGCAATCAAGAGTTGTGATTGGTAACAACTCAGGTCATCTATTATCATAAACATAATTTAAAGAGCAAGCAGAATGAATAGGTAATTGCTGCAAATTATAGGAACAATGTTCCATAAAAGCAAAATGCATGTTTTATTAATCAATCTAAGTAATATCCCATAGGACATGAAAGTATATCAAGGAAGAAGTAATACCGAAAGAAAAGGAAGTTCATCTTGACTTTGCTAATAAGATTCTGCATTTTTACAGGATTCCATTTGTCTGAATAATTCACGACTGCTAACAAAAAAGGAAGTAGATAGTACTTCCTCTCATTTTACAGTAACTAAAAATGAATGGAATAAAGAGGATCAACCAGTCTCATAAAGTTCGGGTGAAAAATATTGAGTGAGAATACCAAAATCTCACAAAATTTGATGATCTCTCAGATATCAAATGTTACAAGTGACTACAATACAAAAATGTTACGCACATACCGTATTTTTCAGAGTATAAGACGCACCTATTTCCCTCAAAAAAGAGGCTGAAAATCTGGGTGCATCTTATACAATGAATACAGCATTTTTTGCCTCCCGAAACTCCACCTCCTTCACCAAAATGGTCGTGCATAGCTTTTAGGCTTTCAGAGAGCTCCTGGGGGCTGGGGAGGGCAGAAATGAGCAAGAAATATGCTGTTTTTTGCTCAATTTTGCCCCCCCCCAACTCTAGGAGCACTCTATAAGCCTCCTAAAGGCTATCCATGCCCTTTTTTTGACAACAAACGGACCATTTTTTGCTCATTTTTGCCCCCCTCCCCAGGAGCACTCTACAAGCCTCCTAAAGGCTATTCATGCCCTTTAAAAAAAAATGGGCCCATTTTCGTGAAAAACGGGCCATTTTTGGGAGGTTTGCAGAGTGCAAAACCTTTTTTTTAAATTTGCTTCTTTAAAACCTTGGTGCGCCTTATACTCCGGTGCGTCTTATACTCCAAAAAACATGGTACCCTTTTCTCTCTCTCTCTCCCTCCCTCCCACCATACATGCATGCATGCACAGACATACACATACACACGCAGTCAAGCAACCATAATTTTATAATGTGATCCTCAGATTACATATTGGACCTATCAGAATACAGTACACTAAGAAAATAGCTGAGTAATAAGATAAAACATTCTAATCATAAACACGTAGTTTACCATCAGATTAAAATAATTTAGGATACAGTTAAATTATTATAAATTATTTACTAGAATTTCTTTTTCAAAAATCTGAACATGTTATCATCAAACAAATATGAATTTTTATGATAACTCAAAAGGAAGGACAATCAAAATCTTTTTGGGGACAACTATTATTTACAATTCTTTTACTATTCAAACCTTTACTTAATCTGCCTAAAATTTCTTTTTCTTATTGGTTCATTATTTTCTGAACCACGTTTTCTCAAAGGGAGGTATAACTACACCATCAATAACTGAAATATAATAGTGTACAATAATTTATCCATAGCTTCTTTCCTACTAACATACAATGAAGTGGTACAGATGCCACTTTTAGTACAAGTTAAAAATAATGGCACTAATAACAGCAACCACCATCTTATTTTCAGGAAAACTTGTTTTCCAATATACAGGATTAAAAGAAAATATGGGTATATTTTAATCACTGAATTACATGGTAGGAATAAAGAATAAGATTTGAATTCTAAATGTTTTAAGCTCAAACACTCAGATCTTCCGACTTTGAATAACATTCTGAGCTTCATACAAGGTCAAAGTATCAGCTTGCAATTAAAAACAGAGGTTGAAATATTTTACATGCCCCTCTGACATACCGTATCTTAGTCAGCAGATAATAAACATTAATTACAGTTCAGTTACAAGTCCAGCCACTTTTGGTATGGACCGGACCTCCACTGTTGTTGTTTTTAGCATTTATCTCATCTGACAGCTGAGGCTGCTTGTTTTTGCACTGCACTCACTTAGCTCTTAGGGTGAATGTATCTGCATACTTTATATGACAAGGAGTTTGTTTCCAAAAGACGAATACTGATTAGGGATGAGGAGGAGTGACAGACCAAAGATCACCAAGATGGCTTCCATTCCTCAGGGAAAACTAGAACCTGAATCACCTCACTCATAGTCCAACACCTTAACCACTACATGATGAAGGCTTTCTCAGGAAATAGAATTCAATAACATACAACATCTAATTCTTGCTATTATACCAAAATAATGCAATTTGCATTTTGATGAACAGATCCCAGCATTTCACTAAAAAGATGGGGCAGTTCTTGACTCATAAAAATGTATACATCTCTGTTTCAAAATGTTCCATTGTTTTGGGGATCTCTAAAAACAATGTTACTTTTATGAGTCACATCTTTTACTCAACCTATTCCCTCTGAAGAGATTATTAATCCAAAAATGGACAGATTTCAGATTTATAGAGTTAATACTGCTTTTAAATCTCTAAGAAGTCAACAATTATAAGATTATTCATTCATTTATTAATTTGATGCCCTTTGATTCCAACCAACTCTCTTTCCTGGCAATTTCCAGGACTTTGTAACTTTCAAGTATATACTTAATAGTGAGTGAAAACAGGGGTTCTGATGGTCTATCTATCACTTAGCAGAATGAACATATATGAATAGTCAATGAAGATGATAGTGGAGATCCAAGAGTTTTGGTCTTAGGACTAATCAACCATTTAATTCCAAGATTCTCCTGACAAATGAAATCCAGACTCTTAACAGCTGTCATGGGACTTTACTACGATTGTTTTAGCATCTACTCATGAAGTAGATAATTTACTTGATCTGGTTTTCAACATGGAAAGCAATAGTTTATATAGAGAAGTATTAGAAAAGTTGTCTTTTACCAGGGGCTAACAGTATCTGAGACATTTAGAATTGTCCATGCCTCCCTCTGCAGGTATGAAGACTAGATTAAATCAGTTTACTGTAGGGATGGGTGGATCATGTAGCTTTTAGATCATTCTGAGGGATATTCTCTCAGGCCTGGCCCTTTTAGCAGTCCCACAGGCATTTTTTGATGCAGTATCTCCTAATTGCCCTCTGTCCAATGCTAAAGCCATACATTTTGCAAGCTGCAAACAGACGTCAAGCAATTTGGCCTTCTATATTTGGCCCATATTATAAAATCAATTACTCTAGAGTTAAAGCAACTTCATTCAGTACAACTCAGACAGGGTAGCAAAATATATTTATTATTTCAGGTCTTTTGACACTACTTCTATAATTTCTATTTTATATATTGTTTTAATAGTGTTTAATTAGTACTTTTCTCCAAAGCTGTTAATGGCGTGTAATAAATCTATTTAAATACTATAAACATGAGCAAGATGCTAGATTATATAGAAATGAGGCTATCATAATTACATTTCCAATGCATGTGTGAAATCAGAAGTAAGGAGACAGTGAGGCTTGTTCCTTGAAAAGATTTTAGTTTAAAATGTAAAAGGATTTCCACAATGCACATTTTAAAAGGTCAAAATTAAAATGTGCAAAAATAAATAAACTTCAACAATCCTTAGAAGCTGCTTCTAAAAGGTAAAGCTATAAATAAGATGTATCACTTCAGTGTTGAGACGAAGAACTCCCACGGTGGAATGTTATCTCACTACACAAAGTATTACATTTTTGCTTCCCCTTTAATAGTATCTTGTGTAACTTCCTGGAAGATCACTGCTTTATTATTAGAAGCAGATAAGGAAAATGCTGCTTTTTGCTGCTTTTAGTCACTAGAAGCATTTGTTTACAATGAGAGAAAATCCTCAAAACAAAATTCACACTAGTGTAGAAAACCATTTTTGTTCAGTTTTCAAGTATTGGAAATCATAACACTCACCATACTGATACTTCCTGACACAAATTATTTATTTATCCAATATGGTCCCTGTTAAGAATGTGTGTGGGGGGGATCGCTAACAACTTCATATAATTCTTCATGAAACAATTTCCTATATTCTCCAATGATTCCCTGCACCATTATGACACTAGTCATCTTACCCAGTCATCAGAGGACTGAGAAAATAAATGAAAATTCTGGTTTGGAATTTGAGACCATGGAGGATCTTTTACTATGGCTTTAAAATTTTACACTGCTATCACTAACTTGGTAATTGGCACAGCTTGAACTGCATAAATAAAAATACATTCCCAATTCTCCAGGTTATTTTGCTGTATCTAACCTTACCACTTAGGACTAGTAAGATAGATCTTTATTACGGTCAAAGACCAGCAGTATACATTTGTCTTTACACTATATTAAAAATACTAACATTAAAATATAATTAAAAGTATTTACATTAAAAGTGGATAATAACATTATGGTCCAAAGATTGTTAAATCGCCTTACCACTTAGGACTGAATTTTAAAAGCTGCAATATAATATAATAATATAATATAGCTTTTTTAAAAAGCTGCAATATAACAACTTCTGGAGGTGGGCAGTTTTTTTTTTTTACAGGAAGCTGGACAACAATCCAAAACCAGGGAGGGGAACGAGAGAGGGAACACAAGCGGCGCACTGAAGTGGGTTATAAAGCAATGCTTCAGGCATGAAGTTTTTTTGAACCTGCAGCAAATTTCACGCGACGATTGCTTGGCTCCTATTGCTAAGGTCCCTGAACGTTTAAAGCGCTTCCTGCAATCCCTACAGCAGTGTTTCTCAACCTTGTCAACTTGAAGATGTCTGGACTTCAACTCCCAGAATTCCCCAGCCAGCGAATGCTGGCTGGGGGATTCTGGGAGTT